TATATGCACTTGAGGTACGAGGTTCAATGTTTGAGGCACGAGAAGATGTTCGGACGTAGAATCGAAAGGCCCCTGGTGGCGACGCTGGCCTGAGGAGCTCGAGAAATTGACTTCGGGGCCGCGCATGAGCGAGGATTCCATTGCCGAGGAGCACGCTGCTTGCACTGCTCCTAGAAGAGGACGACGGTGGGTGGAAGACAGCGGGTACATGGTGGAGTAGGCAGGGGGGGGTTTGGGGGGGGGGGATAACAAGGAAGAGGCATATCAAGATGAGAATGTTGCAGGAGTCGGGGGAGGAAACCCATGCGGGGGAGGAATACGAGGAATGCGAGGAACGTGCGATCGATGACGTTGCGTGTCAGTGCGACGTCTCGAGGAGGAGGATGAGGAGGATGAGGCGGACATGAGGAATTTGATGATTATAATGACGCTGCTGATGATGATGCTGGTGATGATGATGATCATGATTACCACGATGATGAGGATAATGGTGAATATGATGGCGATGACGATGCTGATGTTGATGATGATGATGCTGCTGATGATGATGCTAATGATGAGGATGATGCCGATGCGGATCATGATGCTGTTGCTGAGGATGATGGTGATGCTGATGCTGATGATGGTGTCTGCGGTGGTGTCGATGGTGGCAATGGCGGTGATCATGATGATGCTGATGTTGATGTGAATGCTGCTGGTACTGATCATTCTGATGCTGACGATGACGACGGTGGCCTCGATAATGATAACGGTACTGATACTGATGGTGATGTTGATTACGACGATGTTGATGATGATGATGATCCTGATGATGACGATACTGATGATTCTGCTGATGGCGACTTGGGCGATGAGGACGCTGCTTATGTGGATGATGTTGAGGATTTTGATGCTGTTGATGATGACGATGCTGCTGCAGATGAAGATGCTGATGCTGCTGCTGATGATGATAGTGATGATGACGATGATGATGTTGATGCTGGTAATGAAGAAAAGGCAGACGACTAACATGACAAGAATACGTTGCAGAGGATTAGAAGGAGGATGATGCTGATACTGATTATGATGATGGGAGGTGGAGAATGATGTGGTTGCGGATAACCCCTCTTCTTGTTTTCCCCCCTCTCCCCCATATCCCCTGTCGTCTCTATTCCCCTTCTTCCTGTTCTATATTCCCTCTCCCCCTCCCCCCGCCCTTCTCGCCCGCTCCCCCTCCCGCATTTCCCCCTCTTCCCCTTCCCCTTCCCCTTGCCCCATGTGTCATTCGCCTCTCCCATCCTCTGTATTGCTGTCTTTCTGCTGCTTCTGCTGCTGCTGCTGTTATGGTGGCTGGCTATGAACATTTGGGCCTCAGGCTCGCTGAGGAATGGGCGTGCGTGCACATGCATGTGACGTTATCATCGATGCCACGATGATTCGAGGACACGTCGTCTGGCCGTTGTCATAGACAGCGTGTCATTTGGGCAAGTGTGATCACAATCTGGGCGGTTGCGGGGGCACGCCAGCGGCGCAAACGCTGCGTCGCTGCGCCAATCTCATCCTTTGCCGCCACCTCATTGTTTGCACGTGCCTCATCGTTGGGAAGAGCCAGTTGTGTCTCTCTCTTGTCCCCCTCGCCTGGTCCCCCCCCATCCTCTGTATCCTCCCCCTTCTCGTGCTGCCCGACCTCCCCACTTCTCGTCCAGAGCGGGAAGCTCCTCTTCCTCGACATGCTCCTTGGCCAGCTCCTCTTGTCCTTCTCGCCTGGCCCCCTCCCATCCTCTTTATCCTCCCCCTTCTCGTGCTGCCCGACCTCCCCCCTTCCCTTCCAGAGCGGGAAGCTCCTCTTCCTCGACATGCTCCTCGGCCAGCTCCACGCCCGGAGCTCGGAAAGGGCTGCGCGGCCCCCCCGTCCCTCCTTGCCTCGTCGCTGGGGGTCCGGAGGCTCTGCCGCCGAGGCGTCGAGCGACCGAATCGAGGCCCGTCCTCCTCTCGCCTTGATGATGCTCCGACCTACTTCAAGCCTTGATCGCCAAGAAGAATTTCGAGCGGCCAGACAAGTACCGACGCTCAAGGCTTTGCACGTGTCGGGCCCTGGGAGACACTCGCCTTACCCATGGGTCGTTGAAAGTAGGTATTTTTGGATTCCCAGATTCCAATCTACTTTCAGCGCCTTCCTACCTCAAGAGTCGAGCGGTTTTCCCTCTTCCCTCCTCTTCAGGAGGCGGGCGGAAACCCAATCTGTTTCCAACGCCTTCCTACTTCATGTTTCTACCTACTTCTTCCGTCCGATGGGTAATGATGCTCCGACCTACTTCAAGCCTTGATCGCCAAGAAGAATTTCGAGCGGCCAAGCAAGGACCGACGCTCCAGGGTTTGCACGTGTCCGGCCCTGGGAGACACTCGCCCGACACGGTTTCGGCATTCGTTTGACACCGTTTCTGGGTGCTCGAAATCATGTCTGGGATGCGGTCCTCAGGTCGGATGGGAACGACATAATTCGCGCCGCCATACATGGCGCGAAGGGGGAGGGCGCGACCGTCAAACCGTTGCAGTGCTTACTCGGAGGCGGGGGCGCGGACGGCCCCGGCGAGCACGATAGTGCCTCGGCAGCACGGGCCTGATGTGCTGGGTTTCAACATGCTCGGAGACTGGAGCGTATACACTACCAGTGGCGGGCGTTTTTTCAATCCAAGGACTTTTTTGAGGGTCGGGGGCGATGTCGGGGTGGTGTGGTGTATTTTTGTTCCCCCGTTTTCCCGGGGAAACATCGAAGAATGTATACACCAGGATCCCGTATGCACCAGTATCCGCCTTCCTCTGCGAGATTCCGTGCGAGGCCGGACAGAGGCGTCGGTGTATAGAGTTCGGCTCCTTACATGCCACCGTCCATGCATGCCGTTTTCCTCATGGGCCCGAACATGTCTTGGGAACATATGGTACGCTTGCTTCTGGCGAGTGATGGTGCGTGCCGCGCTACCTGCTGTGTACGCTGTGCGCCTGCAGCGACGTGAGGGTCGCCCCAGAAGCTGCTTTCACGCTTGGTCCAAAGAGGGGGAGCCTCGCGCAACGCACGCATCTTGCGGCGATGCGATTGGTGACGTCTTGATGCTGTCTCCTCGTTTTCCACTGCGGAACCAGCGCAGACATCCAGGGGATTAGGTGGCGGATCTGCGGATCGGTTGGCGTTGCTGGTGATGTCGGGGTTGTATTTTCCGGCGGGCTCTTTGTGCTTGCTCATGACAAGAAAAGCTTATTATGCCCTTCCGTTCGGTCCACCAAGTTGTTGCCATTCGTTTTTTTCCGTGTCGTGTGCTGTTTGATGGCTCACAGACCAGGGACCGGCGACGCAACTCTCCACCCTACCCCATGTAAGCGAACATCATGTTACATGGTGGTCTGTCCTGGAACTTGATAGTATGGGTCCTCAATCGCGATGTCGTCTACTTGTGCCTTTCACTCAACCGCGGGCACTTCTCAGTATTGTCGACGCATACCCTGACCACGCAGTCTGCTAATCAGTTGTTGCCGTCAGCACGTGGCTAGTCAATCCTCAGGTATCATCTTTCCACCAGACTTCCTCCTAGCAGTTTGCCAGATTATAGTCTGTCGAAGCAGACAGGCTCTACCATCGGTATGCCTTCATACAGACGTGTAGAAACGTTCCCTCTTTGGCACCATATGCGTTCGGTCTGCTGTGCCATCGCGTCATTCCTCCACCCGTGCCCCGTCCATCCCACGGATGGCAGGGAAACGCGCACACATGCACACACACACACACATATATATATATATATATATATACACATGCATACACACACCTGTACGACCACCCTTCCTGGGTCAAGGAGGTTGGGCGTGGGGAGGACTTCAGCTTTCGGTGTGTGATTGGGGTCGGATCGGACTCGGCGGTAACCACTTGGGCGCCACCGATCACCACCGATGGCGTCCCGATGGCGTTCTTGATAACCATCTGGAATCATCGGGGCAATCAGCAGAAGCAGGTGGAACTTGTTTGCACGAACATACAGGGCAATATGGCGGTCCATCTATTTATCAATCGGGGATTCCAGCAGGAATCATCGGGGCAACCAGCGGAACTAGGTGGCATTAAATTGCCCGCACTCTTTATTTTTAGGTCGTATCACGGACACAGGGCAATATGTTTGCCCATCTATTCGTTTGTAGGGGCATCAATCAAATTATCCGAGCGCAGTGACCAACCATGTTCAATGGTGATTACCGCGTTGTGGGTACCGCTTTCGGTGGAGCTCACTCGGGTGCCACGAAGCGTGTGATGGGTGTGCCGTTACGCCGAACTGTGTGCGGTGTTCGATGAGGCTCCCTATGGGGCCACGAAACATGTGAGGGGTGTGGCGAAATTAGCGCGGTGGTGCCATGCGAGCGCAGCCACTGGGGCCCTCGGTGGAGCTCCCTATGTGGCCACGAAGCGTGTGAGGGTGTGCCGGAATGGGCGTGGTGGTGCCATACGAGCGCAGCCTTTGGGGCTCTCGGCGGAGCTCCCTGTTGGGCCACGAAGCGTGTGAGGGGTGCGCCGAAACGGGCGGTTCTTCCAGATTCTCTTGGCCCTCCTATACCCAGCCTCCTCTTCCCGCTTCCTCTGCCATTCTGTCTCAATGGTGAAGCGATTCAGGCGACGTCAGCGCTTGACAGCGTTTTCTGCAAAATATCAAGCCCGAGTCTCAGCCAGGGCTCTCCGTTGGCAGCTATGGGTATGCTCATCTTCAGCATCGCGGTCATGCTCTTTCCCGCATGTGCAAGGCGTCACATCGACGCAGCAACCCTCCTCGCCCCATGCGAAGCTGGTGAATGGGTGCCCCACGAAGACTGTTCCGGGATCTGCAATCAGGATGGAGTGTGCGAGGTGGCGAGAACATATGCAGAAGTGGCTAAAGGCACGAAAGTAAAGGAGCTGCCGTGCACTAAGTGTGCCGTGCCGTCAACGTCATCGGATGCTGTGCCATGTGATGGAGACTGGGTGCCGAGCGGCTCTTGTGAAGGCGAGTGCGATGCGAGCGGAATGTGCTGGCACAAGCGTACTTATGCTGAGGTGGCGAAGGGCGTTGAGAAATACCAGGTCTCATGCAAGTGTGACGAGAGTACGGCCGCGCCAGTTACGGACGGTACAGACACTTCAGACGATTCGTCACCAGAGTCGCCATCATGTGATGGGGTTTGGGCGCCAAGTAGCTCTTGCGAAGGCGAGTGCGATGCGAGCGGAATGTGCTGGCACAAGCGTACTTATGCCGAGGTGGCGAAGGGCGTTGAGAAATACCAGGTCTCATGCAAGTGTGACGAGAGTACGGCCGCGCCAATTACGGACGGTACAGACACCTCAGACGATTCGTCACCAGAGTCGCCATCATGTGACGGAGTCTGGGCGCCAATCAGTTCTTGTGAAGGCGAGTGCGATGCGAGTGGGATGTGTTGGTACAAGCGTACTTATGCCGAGGTGGCGAAGGGCGTTAAGGCGTACCAGGTCTCATGCAAGTGTGACGAGAGTAGTTACGACGCCCTCACCAATCTCAGACGATTCGTCACCAGAGTCGCCATCACGCCAAGTAGCGTGAAGGCGAGTATGCGAGACGCCTGGCGAAGGGCGTTAAGGCGTACCAGGTCTCATGCAAGTGTGACGAGAGTAAGGCCGCACCAATTACGGACGGTACAGACACACCAATCTCAGACGATTCGTCACCAGAGTCGCCATCATGTGATGGGGTTTGGGCGCCAAGTAGCTCTTGTGAAGGCGAGTGCGATGCGAGTGGGATGTGTTGGTACAAGCGTACTTATGCCGAGGTGGCGAAGGGCGTTAAGGCGTACCAGGTCTCATGCAAGTGTGACGAGAGTAAGGCCGCACCAATTACGGACGGTACAGACACTTCACCAATCTCAGACGATTCGTCACCAGAGTCGCCATCATGTGATGGGGTTTGGGCGCCAAGTAGCTTTTGCGAAGGCGAGTGCGATGCGAGTGGGATGTGTTGGTACAAGCGTACTTATGCCGAGGTGGCGAAGGGCGTTAAGGCGTACCAGGTCTCATGCAAGTGTGACGAGAGTACGGCCGCGCCAATTACGGACGGTACAGACACCGCAGACGATTCGTCACCAGAGTCGCCATCATGTGATGGGGTTTGGGCGCCAAGTAGCTCTTGTGAAGGCGAGTGCGATGCGAGTGGGATGTGTTGGTACAAGCGAACTTATGCCGAGGTGGCGGAGGGCGTCGAGAAGCATCAGGTCTCATGCAAGTGTGAAGAGAGTACAGTCTCGCCGACCACGACCACTACGAGTACTACGATGACGACCACCAGCACCACAGCCAGCAGCACTATTTCTTCACCACCAGCACCAGCACCACCAGCACCACCACCAGCACCACCAGCACCACCACCAGCACCATCCTCAACTTCAAGCACTACCAGCAGCCCGGCTTCCACAAGCACTACCACTTCCACAGTGACGGTTCAGTCCACGACGTCGACGTCATCTTCGACCACCAGTTCAGCATCGGCTACAACGGATGATGATGGGAGTCCCGGGAGCGCGCGGGCGAATGGGGCGTGCAGCCTTGTTCTCTCGTTCGCAGCACTGCTTGGCGTCTCGCAGCTCTGATTAGTAGACCGTAGCATATCCGCGGACGACTTGTGTGCACCGTACCGCTTTGGCGCCTCTCGTGGCGGCGTCGATTTTTGACCCAGGAATGGTATGATGCATCGTTTTCCGGCCCCCAGAGCCGAACAGACTGTGCACCGCACCGCGTTCCGTTCTCGTAGCATAGCGAGTAGTTCGACTTCAACTGGGGTGTCAGGAGTAATGCTTTGAGATGGAGACGGACGAGCTGGCGGTGGAGGCTGAGGAGAAGGTTCTGGATTAGGTTGGCGTGGAGGAGGTCCCCAAAGAACTGCAGAGCAAGCAGACACATGGGAAGCAAGTGGTGGAGGATAATGACGACAATAAAGATAGTTTTTGGTATAACGAAAGATGACGATGAGGAGGACGAGGATGGAGGATGATGAGGAGGATGATGATGATGCTGGTGATGATGATGATGATGATGATGATGAGGAGGAGGAGTAGGAGGAGGCGGACAAACATCATCAGGAGTCACATGACCAGGAGTAGGTGGAGGAGAAGGAAGTCAGGGAATGTACAGGAGGACCAGAGTAAACTCAAGATGCATCAATGATGCTGCAATGCGCCCTCCCGTTCCAAGTCCCCTTCTCAGAAGTACCTGGAAGTATTCTTCTCCACTGTGAGAAGCGCCCCCCTGACAGACGAACGCCCCGTGGGGCTGTCATTCAGCCAAGACGTCGTTCTGTACAGGACCCAGCCTCCATGTTTCGGCTACGAGAAAGTCGAGAGGGATAGGGTCATACAGTTCAAGGAACTGCCCAGCGATAGCCCCGTTTGGATACAGTCGGCCCGGATTAGTAGGTCGACCCTGCCAGCTCAAGGGTGCCCTTGTGTCCTGTGACACGCGCCTTCTTACACTCCCATGGAAAT